CTATCTATCTATCTATCTATCTATCTATCTATCTATCTATCTATCTAGTAATTAATTAAAATGAATAATGAAAAAAGTATAAAGTTGCCTTTTCCTTGACAATGAAATAAAAACTTTCTTTTTTCTTGTCTCTTCTTTTCTTCCAGCTAAGGTGAGTCTTGGAGCGACCCCGCGTGGGCGCGCGGCTCAGACTGCTCTCTGCACGCGCTCACCGTCAATTGGAGTCGGAAAAATGGTGGCCAGCGTGCGAGTGCAAAAGCTGTTCCGACGATACAAACTAGCGATTGTCGCCGCGTTGACTATCCTCTTGATACAGGGGCTTGTGCTATGGAGCCTGAGAAGTCTGGAGGAAGGCGAGGCAGAGGTAAGAAACAGCCCCGCTGGCTCTTTCTGTCACGGTGGAGAGTCCGTCTGGCTTTAATTGGAGAGCTAGCCGTTAGCTCTTAGCTCGGCTCGCTGTGTTATTGTACAGTAACGTTAGCAGACGCTAGCTGTTAGCAGCTGGAGAGGAGCGCTGCTCCCGAAACATTTGTGTACCCGTACAACCCAGCCACGTCCCTTTCTGCTTCGTTGTTGCCGAGTTACTTCCCACGATACTCAAGACAACTTACCACACGCAACATGTGCATAGCAGTACATTTACGGCCATTTGTTGACATATAGTTATATGCTCGTTAAGTTTTTCTTGTCTGAAGAAGCTGCAGTCATCGCATTGCCATGTTATTGCTTTTGTTTTTGAGAAATCGTGTGGCTGCAGAGACAGAAAAATTGCACAGCAGACATTAGAGGAAGTAAAAGATGGAGCAATAAAACCACCATAGACGGTTTAACTAGTACTTTCAGATGCACTGACAGAGTAACAGCCAAGGAGCATCGGCTGTCTCTCATCGATCTTCACGTCTGTCCAGGATCTAATCTGCTGTGTCTTTTGTGTTCTTTTTATTCACTACCAGTGGATTTGAACAATCTATTGCTAAATCTGTTGACCTTCATTTAGCTCCAAAATATCCCGGAGAAAAAGACCAAAGACCCCCACCACATATCGCAGAAAAAACTTATTCAACGGGAGCCCAGTCTTCTGTGGGAACTGTATCCCTGTGTCTCCCTCAAACACCTGGAGTGCACTACCTTGAGGCTGTTGCTGCTCTATTTCTCCCCCTGTGTAAAGGGTAAGGTGATCTGATAACAGATGTCACCTGTGGAGGGCTGTGAGAGTTCAGGAAAGCAAGCTCAGGCCTGAAGCTGGAACGCCGCTGTTTCTCTGTCATAATGTGACAAGTGTGGACTGCGTGATATTCTTCCTTTCACAGATATGGCTAAGGTTTCTGTAGCAGGCAGCAAATGTTTCAGTGGTTTTTACCAGGAAACAGATATGTGACCTGTGCCACGGAGTGGGGAAAAGAAGGATCAGCAGTCTAGGGGATTATGAGTTGTGGATCCCTTTAGTCTAAACCATGAACTAATCAGTGAGCTCAGTTTAATTCACAGATGCCTCACCTGCCTCTGTTTGTTTAGCATGATGCCTGAATGAAGCAGTTGACATGCCATTAACTAAATGTGACTTGTAGTTTGTCATATTATCAAAAATTCTTTATCAATTTTGCCACCTGTTTGCAGAAAACCCCCTCAGGCATTCTGCTTCCTTATCAGATTCATTCAGGTTTAGACATGCCTCAGCAAGGATACAAAAAAATGTCTTTTTAGCTTGGTATTTGACTTTAGCCCACGTAGGCTATAACAAAAAAAACAAACAGTTTGGGCAAATGAGTGCTGGTAGGAATAATCATGCGAATAAATAACACCACAGTTGAATATTAAGAATGATGGATTCATATGGTTTCCTGTGAATGGCTGCTTTATACATGTGACACTGCGCATGGCACATGTAAGCCTTTTAGTCATCTGTGTTGGCAGACATCTATGCAAAGGTCACCACGAGGTCTGTGCATGTTTGCAGACTCACAGAATCAAATTTCAGTCCTGGGAACGCATATTAATCATTGCTTGAACCTAACGCTTCCTTCATGCTCAGCAGTCTCTGTCTTATCTCGTATCCACTTTAACCAGGGGCTCGCTTTGCTTGTGTAAACGTCATCCCATGCATTATATTAAATCCCTTGCATGGAAAAATGAAGGGAACGGAGAAAGATGAGTCTGTCATCCTTGTGTCACCCTCTGCTTGCTCGCTTTCTCCTGCAGAGCTGAGTGCTTGCTGCTGAGTCGCACTTCAGCAGATGGTGATGCTGATATGATTTCACTTGACTTTTAATTGGAATGTAAAGAGCTCGCCTTTGAATCAGTGCTTTTCTTTTTTTCCTCCTTTTTTTCTTTACACAACGGTCTTAATTAAAAGCCGTGAAAGCGAGCGATAAGGAAAATAGAAATATTGTCTACCGCTTCTCGCTTGCTTGCCAATATCCTCTAAGTCATGTTTTCTATACGATCACCAGTAGCAAGCCAACGTTGACAGACAATGGTGTATTAATGTTTAAAAAGAATGCAAAACTTTAGGAACAGTGATCTTAAAGTAAGCATTTCGTCAAAGATAGACTGTCTGGATTGACTAAAACGATCCTCAGTGAACTGCTGTCTACAAAATGGGTATTTTTAATGTCATCATATTTAAAATTGACTTCTAAAAGGTACTATCCTTGTTTTTTTAAGCATGTTGTCTCAGTCACACACATATTTATTATTCTCCTGCCACTGTTTTAGACTTGCTAAATTCAAAAGCACATTGGCATCAACACAGTCCTATTCATATTATGCTTCTTAAGCTTTATCTTGCACAGTTTTAAAAACACAATAACACTTTGATTCCATACCAAAATGCTATTACATTAAATACAGATGTGTACAAGTGAAAATAATTGCGTTATTGCTGTTTATTAATCACACTCCAGATGTTTTTATCCCATTTAAAAAACCTTCTTGTTTAAGCAGGGTCAATTTACAACGTTTCTGACAGCACAGCATCTCATCATAGCTGTCTTTAGCTCTCTGTTGATGCAAAGCAGTGGAATTTGGTGCATGTTCTGACCTCCCAATCCAAAATTTCTGGTTTTCCTGTCCAAACAGAAATGTGACATTCATTAATGCTTAACACCTGGAGGTGTTTTCCTAAAATGATACAGTCTTCTCCTAAAACTCAATTTCTTGTAGATGATAGACACAAAAACAGACAAATTTGCTGCCACCAACATTCCCTAATTCCTGTGAACAGGGTCTAAGAAGCTGGGTTTCCTCAGCAGAGGGTAAAACGCTGGTTTGAGTGAAGCTGTCCCATGTTGCCTCTAACAGTACAGAGTGTGAGGTAGCTGTGACTGTACTGTATTGGTTGGCAGCGTACCATCCGGCCCCTGTTCTCGCTGCGCAGTCCCAGTTTTTTTCTCGTTGTTCCCACCCATCTCAGGACTGTCGGCATGCCAGCGGTGTGAGGCGAGTGGGCCCACATTCTGCCATATTGTTGCAAAGAGGCAGCAATCTCTCAGCCCACTCGCTGCTCTTCTCCCTCTTCTCGATGTGCGTCTTTTCTGGGCGCATTTGTGCAAACCGGTTAGACCTGTTTGGGGAAAATGATTTTTACATTCCTTAAATGAACTTTTAATTTATTTTCTTTACAACATTTGCTGGTTTCTCGATGCATTGTTTTTCAGTCGTGGAAGCCAGATTTGTGCTATGGTGGGATTTATGATCATAGCTCTGCTTTGAGGCCAAATCTGGAACAGTTCTGGGGAGAATTAAACCAGACCACAGAGGACAGCCAGAATTGTATGATTTTGAGTCCTATTTGGCTTCAGATATTTGTGAAATTACCTTGTTAAAATGTCATCTTCAAACCAGATTTTCACGTGAATTTAAGGATACACCTATCCAGGTCATATCCCTGCACTTTATTGATGCTGATCTTTTAAGTGAAATCTTACCTGATAAGAGTTGCTCACGTCTGAATTTTTTTATTCATCCCTTCCACCTTTTTATAAAGTAATTAAAACATTTTTGGTTATCGGTGAGTAACTATGAGTTATGTGGTGTTATCTTTCCACAACAGTGCAGCAATGACACATGCACACGCACACATTAAATGTCTGCGTGTGTGTGCGTGTTTCATCTGCAGTTTTAGCTGGAGACAGCAGACTGAGGTTTGTTGGCCTGCGCAGTGATTCACAGCATTGTCTCTGAGTGTGTGTGACTGTTCAGCTTTGCAGATGAGCTCCACAAAAAGACAGAGACTCAGCTAAAAATAACCTGGAAGAGAGAAATGAAAACAACAAGTAAACGCATCCTTCCCTCTGGCATTCTTTCTGCTTTGTTTATCTTATGTCATTTATGAATTATGATTCATCTCCTCCCTCTCAATAATGTTTGTCCAAAATGTTCTCGTGCTATTGTTGGCCATGGATTTGGATTTGAAATGTGCTTTGTCTTTTTCTCTGCTGTCTTAAGAGAAAAACAAGACGGTCTAAGTTGCCTGATCACAACAGCCAGGACCCTAAGAGAGACGGCGCACTTTGGGACAAACCAAATTCTATATCTGGGAGGAGCAGAGGCAGATGGAGCGCCAGGTTCGAGAGGACAGCAGCCAGCACATGGAGGAAGGGGAATGGCCGGCGGGCAGGAAAGCCCAGTGTCAAGCAGAAGAACGTCCAGGCTCGGGGTATGACGGCAGCTGGAGTGGAGGGCGTCGTCGCTCATGATCTGTCCAGTAGCCGCAACTTCAGCGAGAACCGCGGGGGTTTAGACGGAGCAGCCAGACTACCAGCCGTACCAGGGGAGCCAGGCAGTGTGGACGGGGCACACCAAGCCCTTAGCAATGACTTTATGCCTAAGTGTGACATCACAGGCAAGGATGCGCTGTCTGCCCTCCATCGCGCCATGTCACAGCAGTGCAGGCAGGAGATCGCGAACATCGTTTGCCAGCACCAAGCCGGGCAGCTCATGCCAGGCGCACTCCCTCAGTTCTGCCCCCAGCAAAGTGAGTGCGCTCCCAATTTTTCACAGATATCAGGGTTGTTGATGCTGAAGATATACAGGTTTTCAAAATGTTGCTCACTTTCCCAGAAAGAGTTAAATCAGTCCTGTATTTCTCTGTCCTCTCGCACCAGGCGTATCGCACCCGGATGAGGCTGCTGCTGAACTGGACTTAAGCCTGTCCAAGGTGGAAAACCCTGTCAGAGTGGCTTTTGTTCTGATGGTCCATGGCCGCGCCGTACGGCAGCTCAAGCGGCTTATCAGAGCCATATACCACAGAGACCACTATTACTACATCCACGTGGACAAGGTAGAGTCCATTCACCAACACACTGCCATTATACTGACCTGTCAGGTTGCGTTTGGGCGGCTATGAGCATGATTGGGGCTGACGGTTCCAAAATGCTTTGCTTTAATGGCAGTTTATCCCGCTGTTCCCACAGTGCGGCAAAGGGGATTAGCCTTGATAGTTAGTTGTAGGTATTCTTAGTTGTTGGATTAAGCAGGGGAAAGGTTGCTGTTGTGAGTAGCTTGAGAGCATGAGACAGTTGTGGGGATGTGCCGAGCTGGAGTTCCTGTTGTTAGTGCACCTGTTGTAGTTGGAGAGGTCGCCGTGCCACGAGAAGCCGCTCAGTTGTGCTGCCAAGTGACAGCGGAGCGGCTCACAGGAGGCAGGGAACAATAAGTCAGCGGGACGGCTGCACCGCCAACACCAGCTTAGAGTCTCTGCTGGCCATAGCTCATCCATCTCTGCAGAAACACCGCGTTTGAGAGATGAGGCTAAAACACAGGTCAATGTGTATTAGTCTGTCCACTGGCTGCTCTGCAATTTATCATCCGCGCCTCTTTTCTTTTGCCTTCTACAGATGAGGAATGTGAGCCTATTCCTCTGTCCTTTTCAACTCCAGTTCCTCATTTCTGAATGCAGCGAGGGTACCCAATGGGTTAAAGTCCCTAAATCTCTGACCTATTGTAAATGTTCAGGGCTAATCAATTACAATCCTTTTGTTTTTCAAAAATCTTAATTGGACGTTATGACCCAGAACAATGAATTCTAAATTGTTTACTGGCCATTAATGGCTGCTGAGGCTGCTTGTTAATTAATCTTGTCAATCCCTGTGAAGTCTTTGCATTCAACCCAAAATTTGTTTCCCCTCAACATGTTTTATTGTTTCTTTTTTTCCCTCTAAAAGTTTAGCTCCAGCCTTTACTTAAAGTTCGGTCGATTCATCTCTGTTTCTGTCAACATTCGAAAGAGGCAAAACAGGCAAAATAGCTGGATTTAGAATTTTCTCCCTCTGTTATCACGATGACTCACAGTACAAAGCCCACATGGTCGGTTTTCTCCTCTTTCAACCTGTGCCAGATCTGAGTGATAGTTTGAGCTCAGTGTCAGCTGTAGATTTTAGGGAACCTTTGCCTTTGCCGCAGAACCAGTTTGACTCTTTTACCAACGTTTGACTCTATAACCCTCCAGCGGTCCGGCTACATGCATCGGGAGGTCCTGCAAATCACTCAGTTATACCCCAATGTAAGAGCCACGCCATGGCGCATGGTCACCATCTGGGGAGGAGCCAGCCTTCTGAAGGCCTACTTACGCAGCATGCAGGACCTGCTGTCCATGCCCGACTGGAAGTGGGATTTTTTCATCAATCTCAGCGCCACAGACTTCCCAACTAGGTTAGTTAGATGTACTTTGGTCCTACTTTGGTCATTATTTAAATGACAGCTTTGACAGTTTGGTTGAACCCTTCCTCTTCTTCCCGCCCACCTGCCTGCAGGACCAACGATGAACTGGTGGCGTTCCTGTCGCTGCACAGAGACAAGAATTTCCTCAAATCTCACGGGAGGGAGAATGCTAGGTAAGGATTCTAAGACGGGAACCAGATCCCGTTTTCCCAGAGAAAAATAAGCTGATCATTACTTTGGTTACTTCTCCAAGTAGAACCCTGTTGTCTGTTCTTCGTGTCAAACTCTACTCTTTTGTTCCAGGTTCATAAAGAAGCAGGGCCTGGACCGCCTCTTCCACGAGTGCGACAACCACATGTGGCGTCTTGGTGAGCGCCACATCCCAAAAGGCCTGGAGGTGTCGGGCGGCTCCGACTGGTTCGCCCTCACCCGTCTCTTTGTGGAGTACGTCATTAACTCCCAGGATGAGCTGGTGTTAGGGCTGAAGCAGTTCTACACCTACGCTCTGCTCCCCGCTGAGGTAAGAGAGCCTTTGGTGGACCATTTATGTTTTGCAGTCGATGCTGAGCGTTTGATTTGCTGTCTCTGGCATGTCTCGCGGCACCTAGTCAGAAGACATAATGTAATACCCTCATTTTTGCAGCACAGCGTGTAACACAAGTTTCAGATGAAACCTGGGTTCAGTGTAGTGGAACTGACTACTTTAGCCCCAGAGGAGGAGCTGCACTCAGCTCTGCTGCACTATTGTGACCTTTTATAAATGAGAGTCTGAGTTTAGCGACAGACCCTGCATGCGTTTAGTGGCGTACAAGCAGCTTGCCTTTTACTGCAGAACCATTTGTTTACCCCTGCTCTTTCGTCAGTCCTTCTTTCACACAGTGCTGGGGAACAGCCATATGTGCGACACCCTGGTGGACAACAACCTGCGTGTTACCAACTGGAACCGTAAGCTGGGATGTAAATGCCAGTACAAACACATTGTCGATTGGTGCGGCTGCTCTCCCAACGATTTTAAACCACAAGACCTCATTCGGATTCAAGTGAGTGCACCAGAGGAGGGCAGCAAAGATCCCCGAAACTATTCAGCTCCCTCTCTTTTTTTTCCTTCACGTTGGCTAATTTTGCAGTCTGTTATGTTTTATTGTTTATGTCTTTTTTTCTTTCTCTCTCTCTCTCTCTCCATCTCCAGCAACTGACCCGTCCAACATTCTTTGCCCGAAAGTTCGAGTCGTCAGTGAACCAGGAGGCCATAGACATCCTGGACACCCACCTGTACGGGCAGTACGCTCCTGGAACAGCTGCCATCAAGGCCTACTGGGAGAGCCTGTTTGAGCAGTTGGATGGAGTGGGCTCCCTCAGTGATGTGGCACTGACTGCATACACCAGCTTCTTCCGCTTGGGCCTGAAGAGTCTGGTGACCTCTCAGAGCCACGTGGAGACCTGCAGGTGGACTGTCTGCTTAGTTGTCATGATGCCAAAGTTGAACATTATATTAAAAAGAGGCTCTTAATCTATTTTGCATGTGATTTCTTTACTTTTCCATGGCAGGTTTGAACCAGTGGGCCTCCCTCTCTCTGTGCATTTGTATTTTTATGACGACCGCTTCCAAGGGTACCTGGTTCGTCAGGAGGTCCAAGCCCTGGGGTCAAAGGACAAGGAGACCTTAGAGGTGTGGGCTGTGCCACAAGCCACTTTCGTCCTTGAGAAAAACCTTAGAGAGTTCGAGAGGCTCAAGAACCTGGAAGTAAGCACTCTTTTAGAAGAAGATATTACTCTTTTCTTTTTTAAGATCCAAAGACTCTGCCATATGAAGAGATTCTGTGCCAACTTGTAAAATGACACTGGTTTAAAAAAACATGTTAAACTGGTCTTCAAATAGAATATAAAAGACAAAAGTCTCAGGTCAGGCGCATTGCTTCATGGGAATTTAATTTCTCTCTCCTTAACAGATCGGAACCGAATGGGACCCAAAAGAAAGGATCTTCCGTAACTTTGGTGGGGTGGTGGGACCTTTGGACGAGCCTCTGGCGGTCCAGAAGTGGGCCCGCGGTCCCAATCTCACAGCCACTGTCGTTTGGATCGACCCGGCTCTGGTGGTGGCAGCATCCTATGACGTCACCGTAGACGTGGAAGCGGAGTACACGCAGTACAAACCACCGCTGCAGCACCCGCTGCGGCCCGGCACCTGGACAGTGCGGGTGTTAAAACAGTGGGAGCACATGGCGGAAGTCCGCTTCCTGGTCATGCCATTTACCTTTAATAACAAGGAGCCTCTACGCAAAGGTGAGACGCAGATTAATGGCACTCCGCAGCATCTCTCCAAACCTTTCATTTGGGTTGTGGGTGGAATCTTTATGCTTAAAAAACAAAGTTTTGTAAGAGATGAGCAGAAATTGTTAGAGACTTATTAGATATAAAAGATAGACCCTCTTTCATAAGCGTACACAATTCTCTTAGGTCTTCAACAAATGTCTGAGCGATTGACACATCTTTAAAAATGTAAAGACTCTTGCTTTTCTGAGTTTCAGAGTTGAAAGTGACTCCTAAATATATGCTTTCTGGTGTATAAAAAATATACGCTTCCTTGCTGCTGTGTTTTAAGGAATTACCTTAACAAATGAGCATGTGCATATTATTAATGTTAGTAGGATAAATGCATCTGCTGTTTGGGGGTCTTAAAGGAATGTAGTGACTGATGACATTCAACTAATTCCTTCCTGTGACTTCTCCCTTCCAGAAGAGGACAGCTGGCTGCATTCAGGACCTCCGGGTAACTTATACCTGGATCAGAGCTTCCAGCAGCTGAGCTCAGTGCTGAAGCTGCCTCCCCAGGAGCCGGCCATGCAGGCAGCCCAGCGAAACGCCCAGCTGGTGGGACGACCCCTGGAGGCATGGGTAGACAGCTCTTTGGGCACCTTCTGGGTCATAGGGGACCTGTGCACCACGCAGAAGTCCTCGTGCCCAGCGGTGGGACCTTGCTCCAAGACTTCCTGGAGCGCCCTGTCCCCAGACCCAAAGTCTGAACTGGGCCCCGTCAAAAGTGATGGGAGGATCAGGTAGCCCAGAGAGAACTGAAACTCACTGACCTGAACACACACACACATGTGACGCCGGCATCAGAGACCGCAAGAAGGACCTGGATGACCTTTGAACTGTTCTCAGAGGTCAGTTAAGAGCTAAAGGGCACATAAAGGACTCTGGTCCTGCACCGTGTGAAGTGAAGCGCTCTTACAGAGTTAAGAGCTGTGGGACAGACTGGTGGAAATTTGCACATTGAACATGGCCAGCGCCCAAAAAAGAGAAGAAAAGATTGCATCTTTTTTTTCCTTCTTTATAAATAATTAGGCACATGGATGCCAGGTGCATTGTTACGTTTTTAGCTGGCACACAGGTATGGCAAATTGTTGAGGTTTGACCTTTGGGTGCACATTTTCCACTATCTTCTGCTTTTAAAGAAGCAGGAGGGAGCTGTGACACCTGCTCCGGCTCCGTGCTGTGCTCTATCTTCATTTCAAGGGAGAGTGGTACCTCTGAGTCTTTATTATTGTGCTTATTTTGAAGCATTATTGTGTAAGCATATGGAACGGACAGATGAAGTGCACTTTACTGCTAGACTAGGATATAGCTCATTGGTCACTCTCACACACATAACGGTACATGACATCAACGAAATGACTCGAGTTATAACACAAAGAGTGAGTTTTTAAAGAATAGTCTTTTTAATAGTTCATTTTTGAACCAGTCTTTTTTTATGCCTTGTTTTGTCCGTCAGTTTCCTAAAACAGTGTTTGTGTTTGATAGTCCTTCCCGTGTTGCAAACATTTCTCAGAGTTGTTTTCCTGGTCAGAGGAAGTGCCTAAACTGCTTTCTATTAACGATGCCCACTGCATTCAGAATTCAAAACAAAGCGCAGAATTCTGAAAAACTGTGGTTTTGGAAAAGCAAAGTGGTTCAGTTGTTTTGCAGAGAGGGAGATGTTTTGTTTTAGCTTAGCTTAGCATAAAGCTTGTTTGTAAGAAGAAAAGCCGAAACAATCCATCCACCACACGTTTGGCTCCATCCATTAGTCCTCATGAATCCAGTTCAGAATCACACACACACACATAACGCAGTTGTCTTTTATGTTTTCAAAATATCATTTGAATGAAGAAGGCAAATTTTACACAAAGTTTGATGTTTTTACACATACTACAGGAAACTAATATACAGCACAGTGGGGCTCTTTAGAAGTCTGACCTTTTCAGAACAATGGAGCTTCTGTGTCCCTTCAAACTAAGCTAAGCTAACAAGTGGTCGGAGCTGGTTTCTTTACATGCCGTTTTGTGAAAGAAAACGTGTCACTCCTCTCTGGGCAACAACAAATGCACGGAAATGTCAGAAAGTTCCTTTAAACGTTCATCATTGTGATGACAGGCCGTTGTATCCCAGTGTGTGCAGCATTCACCATACCGGTGTGTCTGTCCCCCAACCAAAAATGGTGAACAATATATCTTTTATTGATGTTTTTAATATAAGAGTGGTCAAATCAAAGCTGCCTTTATGTCAGAAAGATGAATCAGCTACTACAGACTAATAGCTTCCAGTATGTAGCATGTGAACCACCCTCTGTCTTTTATTTAGATCTTAACCTAGTTTATGCAAACCTGTGTTCTCAAATAATGACTGGCCACCACATGAGTTGAAGTGACCTTGTTTACCTCGCAGACTCCACACTTGCTTCAGTGAAGCATCGGTTTTATTGAGACGACGTTTTATGAGCAAACTAATCAGTGTGAACAAATGTTATTTTTTTACCCTGTTTGAGAGGAAGCGTTGTGTGTTCATTTGTCAGCACTCCTCACTGCTGGATCTGCTCTCTGGCTGTGTTATGTCCGACACTCTACCTGATCAGTGTCAGCTGAGGCAGTTTGTGTGTGTTGTTTTTATGTTTGCTCCGTCCTCGCTGCTGTGATCACCAGCAGCAGTCTGGCTGGTGAGTCATTTTTAGCTCCGTGGGGCTTATCAGAGTTGGAAACTTGAGCCTGTAACTTTATGCTGTTGGAAGAGCTCACAGGAGAGAACTCCTGACCGAAGACTCAATAAACACCATCAATTAAAGCTTTCACTGGTGATACAGGTTGTTCTTCAAACTAAGCAGAAGGCCATCGTTTATTCATGAGGAGGAAACGTGCTCTCCTGGGTGAAAAACGCTTCCATGTCACTTTTTTAAAGAACAGCTCAACATGGTTTACCTCATAAATACTGCAGCCAACATTTCTGCCTTTGGGTCCGGACAGACTCTGTCACATAAATATTCAGGTTGATGCCCGCGCGCCCACAAAGTTTTGATCGTGTCACATCTGGACACTGGATGGAAGCTGCTCAGAAACAAAAGACACCTGCAGAGAAGGAGGGGCGGTGCATTGGCGGGGGGGGGGAATGAATCTTGACAAAAAGGGAGAAGGGGAAATGCGCCTGTTTAGTCCACCTGCAGGATGGCAGCAAGTTTTGATCAGACATCTGCGGATCCGTGGCGCAGGATGGACTTCTGTGAGGGACAGATGAAGGAGGAGGAGGTGAGGATGGCTTCCTCGGACAGCGCGTACGGGTCATCTGTTGTTGACTCAGACGCCGACGATGCTCCGACACCCCCGTCCGTCACTCTCCCTTATAACCAAGAGCTAACACACAAGGTAAGTAAACTGATCTGGTGTTAGTCGTCAGGCCTGAACATGTTTGTTTCTTAAAAAGTGTCAGATTGTGTCCGTAACTCCTAGGAATCACTGAAAATCTCTGAAGGTTTACAGGGGATCACATTCCCATGCGACGTCTATCTGTCATGAATCCTACCATTGGTAAGTCAAAAGGCGAATAGTTTCCCTTCATTTAGAAGAATGCGGACACCAGATATAAGAATGTCAGCTCCTTCCAAATCTGATTTTCTTTGTCACATCTTTAGATGAGCAGGACTGCGAGTGGAGGCCTGCCTCCTGGAACACTCTCAGCCTGCAGATTTCATTTGCCCTGGCACTGCTGCTACTCCTAATGGTTACAATCCTCCATATGCCTCTGGGGCCTACAGTAACAAGATTAGAGTATATTTGTGAAACAAGTGTTGTGGTGAGACAGGATCGAGCACAAGATTTTTCCTCTGATTAAATTTGCGGTTGTATACGTTGTTTTGGCCTGTTGCGTCCCTCCAGGGCAGAGCGCATTTCATACTGATCAACATGTTTGCCCTCGTATGTGGGAATACTTTTAAGCCCACACAGGAAAACTTTGGTGCATTTGGATTATTTGAGACACTAAAAGAACACTAAAACTATCCATCCTTTCTAAAACTGCGCAGTGTTACGGAAGGAGGGTCGCTGGAGGATGTGCTCTTTTGAATTTTATGTTTTCCCATTAAAAAGAATGAAAAAAAACAATAAAAATGTGACAGCTTAATTAGGTTTTCAGTGGGTAGAGCCATCTGCCGTGGAATTACAGCGGGTTGGGGAAGGATGCAGTCTCACATGGAATGTTCTTCATATTTAAAGGGAAAACTGGGGTTTATCTAAATCTGTTTAGATGAAATCACTGATCATTTAAAGACCAGGAGGCACATGATGAGGCATTTACTGACCCCCCCCCCCCCCTTACAGACCTGGCCCACGGCTGGAGCCACCGTCTCCTACAGTAGACGTGAGCTTTGGGTTTCCTCGGTGACAGGGTTACGAGGCAGCATTGGTAAGCTAAAGGAAAGCCGATGTTGCCATGGAGACATAGTCATCATTTCCGCTCCTTCTATGGTCGCTTTGCCACAGAAAAATCTCCATCCTGACTCCGCAGGCCCTCAGTTTCCAGGCGCCTGGGAGGGGGGACAGGCCACTAACCGCTGCTCTCCTCCTCATCGCCAACCCGGAGAATGTTAACACGCCCGCATCCAATTTTAATGTAGGAGGCATGAAATAGTAATAAGGTGATTTCGAGTGGGCCGCCCCAACTCTGCGAGATGCATCCTTCCCCCCCTGAGTCACCACAACTCCCTTCCACAGTTTGTACAGTAGCTGCTCTCAGAGCTCTCCCATGTCCTCCATCCGCCAGCACAAAGCTCATCCCACTATGTATTCTAACTAGAAAAGAATCCTGCCTTCACATGGCCGGCGTAGCAATCGCCCCCCGGCCACAGACGCAGCCCTCCCCAGACCGAGGCACGCCGGCAGATGCAGATCAGTTCTGGCACGGCCTGTTTGAAGCTGCGCATCACGCAGATGTTCTGCATCACTGTGGTCTGCTGGGAGGGCCTCACTCAATTCCACTCTTCCTGCTCCAATTAATGTTTTTCTGTAACTGCGTTTTGTTGTGTTTGTTTTTGTTGCTGTGCCTTGAATATTTTTCTTGTCATTTGCCCTTAAATTTGTTTTGTAATTAGAGCCTATGTTTTTCATTTAAAAAAACCTAAACTAATCCACCCTCTAACTCTTATCCCAAGTGGTAAAGTCTTTCTACGTGTGGAAGCCTTCCTTGTAATCCTACATTATTTTCTTTAAAAAAAAAAAGAAGAAGCTTAGTCTATGTGTTGGATCTTTAAATGCTTGTTCTGATTGCTGTTGCTTTGCTCAGCACTTTAAAGCAAGCGGGCGATTTACTCTCACGAAGCAAACAGCCGCAGACTCCCATCCTGCACATCCGCTCAGGCTGTCACCACGTCTCGTTCATAATGGAGCGGCAGAGTGGATGTAAAGGACATGAATGTGGGTGATTAAAGCCCGCGCATTACACGCCGCAGAGCCCGGGATGCCGTCACTCGGCGGCGTCCCTGCATGGGCTCTTGTACTGCAGATAAGACGCAGGTTCAGGCCTGCTGGAGGAAGAGGAGGATGAGGATGAGATGTGTGTGTTTGAGTGTGTGTGTGTGTGTGTGTGTACATGTCTGAAAGAGAAAGGATGGTGGCTGCAGAGTGATAAATTCCCACAAAGAGGCAAGCAGCTGCTGCCACACAGCTACGAGATGGGTTTTGAACCCGGTGAGGAGAAAGCCAGACGTCCAAACCCAGACCGAGATGATGCTCTGCTGGAGAGATGGTGGCTGGGACTGTTTGTGTTTCTGTCAGTGGGGATTTGCTTTCTGTGCAGATCCACATTTGTGATGTCTTTGCACAGATCAAAAACACAAACGCGTGCGCTCAGGGAGCCTTTTTGATGCAACCAGTGATCTGGGTGGGCCTGTCACAGCCCAGCTTTCATCCCCGCGCGTGTCCTTCCCTCTGTGGGACGTTAAGACAACCTCCAGCTGTCACAAAGCATCGCGCATCACAGAGAGCCAGGCTGAGCCGCAGCCTAACGCCTGCCCACGCAGGGCCGTGGCCCCCCCGGGGGGGGCAGCAGTGGACCCCGGGCCCCTCACGCCTCTCCTCTGCTGTCACTCTCTCCGCAGACGATCCTGGTGGGAGACAGCGGAGTGGGCAAGACCTCTCTGCTGGTCCAGTACGACCAGGGCAAGTTCATCCCGGGGTCCTTCACCTCCACCGTGGGCATCGGCTTCACCGTGAGTTCATCCCCCCCCCCCCCCCCCCCCCCTTCTATCTCCACACAAGCCTGTCCATTCGCTTTCAAACCACACAGTCCGCGTCGCCTCCCACGCCCACTCCCGTCCCTCCTCCCTCTGTTTGCGGATGTCGGCTTCACCCTGAGTGAGAAAGGACACGTCGCTCGGACGGGCTGTTTGCACCCGAGTCGTGACATAACAGCAGCAGCCTCCTGTTTGTTTGCGCTGCGCTCGGCCCCCTCAGTGCGCGCATCCGTGGCGCGCTCAGCCCAGCTCTTAACACTTGTTGAAGGGCATCGACGTGGTCCACGATGCCAGCAATGCCACGGAGGCAAGCAGGGGAGATACGGGGCTTATTGAGCGAATGGGTCCTCTGCTGTGGACCCCGATAGGTTTGGATGTGTGAAACCACCGTCATAAATAGAGGAGACAGGGACCAGTGAGAGCGCATGAAACTGGCTCTGCCACTTCCCCTTAACGCAGGTTTTGCTCACAAGTTATTCAAGGTTAAAAATATCCCGCAGGAAGACAGAAAGTACAGAAAGTAAGGCACTAAGATGCTGCATCTACGGCGCCTGGAAAAAAAAACCCACCGCGGGAAGGTTTCTCTTGGTGTTGTCAGCTCTGCTGGGGCCCGGCGGAGATTATCAAGGCGCACATGGAAATTCATTCGGTGTTCTTTGCCGCTGTGTGATGGGTTGCGCGCAGCTGTCAGGGAGATATCCTCTCTACCTTCCATGTTTAAGGCTTTTGCAGTTTCTTTGTTCGATCTGAGGCATTTCAGTCATCGTTCTTCTTTGGAGATTTCCTGGAAGAAGCTTAACCTATTTTTTTGTAGAGGGGGGGATTTATTATTCATGCACTGTAGCGTGCAAAACTTCTGAGTCACTCCATATTTCCTTATCGTTTGCTCCAAGTATAGTCAGATTGTTTTCTAACCTTTCAGATTGATAAGGAGTGGCAACAGTTGCTCAGACTCATCACTGGTTTTTGGAAGCGTTTGTTTTGACGCTGCTGACTTATGTGCTCAATCACTCTTGGAAAAACCTTCTCAGTAGCCATTTAACACTGATCTGTCGACGGTTCCAGACATTTACAAATGTGTGCACCTTAAGGGGCAAACTGTCGTGGCTTCAGTGCACAGAGAGCTTGGCAAAGAAACTACTTCACATTATGTCCTTAGGCACTTTGTTACACAGAGTTACCGTTTGTTCCCCTTTTCTTTGGTTAAAACGTCGAAAAGGGCAAAAGATAAGACTCAGACAGGCATAAAATAGCCTTTTTGCACAAGAAGGTGAAGAAAAAAGCCACTGGCTGAAAACCTAATGCATAAATGAAGACCAAAGAAGTGGCAGCTCTAAAACCCAACTCCAGCAGATGAACAGTACCTGAAAGTAATCACGTAGAGGGAGAGAGAGAGAGGAATATCATATATGCTATATATATATATATATAGAAAGAATTGAGTGTCCGATCATACCTGCAAGGTATTTCAGAACTTTTGATTCTTGTGATTCGAAAAAATGTGAATACTTCCTGAAATTATTCATAGGATATGTGGTGATTAGAGGGATTAAAAAACCTATCTGGGAGTTAAGTACTGACTTCAAATAACTACTCCATCTCTGCCATGCTAGTCATTACCGATTCACTCCAAAACCCATTCGGCTCTGTTTACAAATGGATGTTTAGGATGTCGCCTGCAGCAGGAGTGATGCTTTCATATGCACGGATGAGTCATTAGTTGTCAGTTCTGTAGCATAAATGACCTCCCCTCATATACGAGCCGTGTGTCTTCCCACAGAGAAAAGCAAAGGCAATCGTCTCGTTTCTGTGAGCACTAGGGGGAGACAGACACTGTCGCTGGATACTCATTCATCGGCTTTATTGGGAAATTGAGTCTGTGAAACCATTTTAGACACATCTGAAGGAAAGGGGGGTAATTGTTCATTTGCCTGCTGTTGGGAAGTGTCATTAAAGGGAGGTTAAAATGGATCCCAGCCCGTTTGTATGGGTGTGGGGACTCTTTGAAGGGCATTTTCTCCATCCTTAACAGTCAAATAGGGGTTTTGGGTCGGGTCACCTTCCTCTGTGTGACTAATCTTGCGCACCACTTGTGCCAAATCGCCTAAACCAGGCAACGGCCAGTCGGACCCTTGCAGCGTTTTTTTTCCAAGTAGGGTGGGGGTGCCAAGTGCCACTTATTAGAAACCCCCACCTCGGAGGATCTTTCGACAATCGGATCTCTCGACAACCCTGGCGTTGCTGCCCAGTCAATCATCTGCCCACGCCAAGGATGCACAGCCGCGCGCTGCAAGATCGCAGAAATGTTTCCGGCTGTTCATCACTGCCGCTTCCTTGACTGCTGGATGTAGACGCCGACGCGCCGCCGACACCAACAACCAACAACCAACCAACCAACACCGCCATCCGTGCCCCCAACTTTCACCGCGGTCCTTCCCTTTCGCCTTCTCCTTTCAGATCAAGGGTTAAGGTGTGATTTTTCTTTTCCTCCCCCCCCCCCCCCCTTACCCATCGTCTCTCTCACGGGAAGCGCCCGGCGATCATTTGCTTGCAGCGCGCAGTATGCGAGCAGCGGGGCTGGAGGTCGGCGCTGCCTGGGTCTGATCCCTCAAGACACCGCACGTGCGCGCGTCCTTCTCCTCGGACACATCTCGGAGACAACCGTGCTTTGGGCTCTCCAGCCGTTTCCTCTTCTGCCGGCAGTGCGATGTCCACTAGGAGGACATCGTTGACGGACAAGCAGGCTAAAAACGGCACGTCAAAATATGTGTTGGAGAGATGCGCCTCCATCAACGAGTACTACGATATTGCCTTCAAGGTATGAAATGCCCCCCTGGAATGTGTGTTTTATCTTCCTTCTGTGGGGCTGCTGCGGTTGGAACAGGTGTGGAGATCCATCTGGGTGTAACTGCAGCAGCGTATTGACTCTTGGCGTCTGGAGAGGGCTCAGCGCTCTCTGGTCATTTAACCGTTAAACACCGGCTGACCGGTCGCGCTTTAATGATCCTCGCTGTGAAACTGCCCATCATCGCTGTGGGGGATTCTCCTCGGCTGGCCTTAACTACTCTAAATATTTGGCAATAGGTGTACTTGTTGCTCCCGACAATCTCCCGTGAATATTTGGTGAAAGCAGCACTCGCCCCACTACTGCTGTCTAAGACAAGTGGAAAAGTTCCACCTAATCCCGCCGTCTCTCCATCAGATGCGGCTGATATGATTGCGTAATTGCACGTCCCGCCGTTGTCGTTATGTTTAGGGTGAGAGTGAGATGACAGCGTGTGCTGCAATCATCTTAAACCCCTCTCTCCACTGCTGTCATGATCACTACCCAGCGCGCAAATAGTGCCACATTATTTGTTTTTAACAAGCTCACACATGCTTACACTTCACCAAGAAGGGGGGGGATTTCACAGGAATAATAACGCGAGTCAAACACTATCATCCCATTTGGGTTTTGTTTTGTTTTGTTTTTTTTAGTTTCTCTTTCCCGCAGTTGCTAAAATAATCTGTGCAACACCTCCATCAGCTTTGGGGAAGAGTTCTCACCCTGCTGTGATGTGTGCTGGGGGCCGTCACTCACGTCTCTCAGCAGCATTAACCTGACATGTTGTCCTTCTTCTCTGGTGGTGGCTCTGCTCTAGGTGATGCTGCTCGGAGATTCGGCGGTGGGGAAGACGTGCATCTTGGTGCGCTTTAAAGACGGGGCTTTTCTGGGAGGCAACTTTATAGCCACCGTTGGAATAGACTTTAGGGTGAGAGCCATGCAATATACTCACAGAACGCCTCCTTACGGAATTGGTTTGTGTTTTCATGCTTTTGGTATCATTCACTGTGCCCTGCTAAAGCCTCCAGCTGCTGTTTCTTCCACACATAAATGTGTATTCAACAGAAGGAGGTCAATAATAAGTCTGGCGACACTTATATTTTGTTACACTTCTTATACAAGATTCATTGTCATTTTAGAAGTAGTTTTCAGGAATACTTCTTTTGGCATCTTGAAGGACATCCCAAAGCTCTTCTTTGGATGTCGACTGTTTTTCTGTCTGTTCTCGATCAAGATGACCCCACACTGCTTCCGTGATGTTGAATCTTATCTGTTGCCACTCATTTTACTCCTAGTCTTGTGTTTGTTTGTGTTTTTTTGCATACCTGTCCAGTCGCCCTCAGCATCACTTTTTTGTCAACATTTTTTAAGTGTTTTTTCTTTTTACGCCTAACAACTTCTTGTACCCCGCACTCATCCAGTTTCTCCAGATTTTGCGAGGGCACCCTGCAGAACACGCTGAGATTTGCCAAGTTGGGAAATCCCCTTGTAGGTGTAAAACACAACACTGGTTTTTCCCGTCTGTTGGGTCCCTTTTTCAGAATAAATCCATTCATATGTCGGAATTAAATAGCTTAACAAGCCGCATTCCTCTGCAAATGCTCTGAATAGAAGACTGAGCTGAAACCGCTTGAAAAAATAGCCATTGTCCAATTAAAAGACTTTGAGAGACCTACACAAAGCCTGGGGAACAAGACGCTGAAAAAGACGTTGTAAAAGATTCAAGTAAGTCAGGTTCTGTGGAAGCACAGTATCAAGATATCAGGAGTGGATAAAAACGTTCACACAGCCTGGTATAAGGAAGTGTTTTGAATGTGAAAAACTACCTGCTGGTATTTAGAAAAACAACACCTTAGTGGGAAGGACAACGGGGCCAATTATCACCTATTTCCGCTGGGAACACCTCATCGTTCTGAGATGATGGCACCAAACGTACGAATGCTCTCGCCAATCAGTCAAGTTCACGGACCACTTGTGCCGCGCGGCGCTCCGGACGGCTTCATAAATGTCTGGGCAGATGCCTGCCCACGTCCCTGTCTCCGGAAAAAAAAGATTGGCTCCGGCTCAGCTCGGCCCCGGAGGAGTCGCCCTGCTGTCAGACAGAACCCTACCGAGCACACACACACACACACACAGACTCACACAGACCCACACCGCGGCCCTCCCTGCTGTACATCCTCCTCGTGCGTGTTAAGAGGCAGAGAGAGGGCGTCTGGACTAAGTTAACTTCCCCCCTCCCCATACCTCCTGCTTTTTCCCTCTGTCAACGCAAAACACTCACACTAATGGCAAGTCAAGTGTCGGGGTACATGGTTTGAGAGGGAATTGCGTTGCATTAGTCAAAGTGATGTCTTGTCTTCTTTGTGTGGCGGCGTAGAAATGTGGCATGGTAATGGATGTCTTGACAGATATACGGGCTCTTTTTGTTCATGGGCCTAAGCGTGCCATCTTGTCCTCGCTCAAGCAAAAGCAACAGTTTTTCTTTTTTTTGGGGTGGACTCAAATACGACACGCAGAAAAGTAAGAATCCTTCTTAGAAATAAACAGCAGTGACAGAAAACTGTTGATTCGTGGCAGTCATTTAGAAAAATGGCTGACGCTGTAAGCAATTACCTTTTCGTTTCCGTGTTTATTTATGAGTAGGGGGCAAATGCCGCTTAGTGACGGAGTAATGTGAGATAAACAGTTGAGTCAATATGCTGAGGATGTCCTCTGTGCTTGGTTAGGCAGGCAGGCAGGCTGTTGTGGCAGCTTGTAACATGGCTGGTCTATTTTCAGCATGCTTCCTTGTAGCAGTTACTCAGCATGCAGGCTCTTCTCACGTCATAATTGTGGGGGGAAAAAAATGGAAACCCATGGCAACTAATGCAAGGGTTGAAGCATGTCCACTCTGGCAAAGCAGGGGATCCAGCAGGTGGCGGCTCAGGATGCCAGCTCTGCAACACACCGTGCAGGTTTCTTTTGTTTTGTTTTTTTTTTCTGGCCAGTTTGCCTGCATTTTCTTTTGTGTGCTTGTTTAGGCTTTTGCGTGTTCACAGGAAAGGCAGAGGCTTTTCCTGTGACCTATCCCTGATATGACCTGATGAAGGAAGTGCATTGCGGGTTGCATTTCCTTCACCTCAGCCCCCGTCTGTCTTGTGGTTTTCGTTTTGAAAGCTTTAAACAAAGGCCATGGCTCGCTTTTTTTTTAACAGTGGCAGGTCGTGGCGACCAGGAAACATGAAGGCGTTGCACAGAAGAGCATGTGCTGCATGCACGCCATCATCTATATTTGTACGCCTCTCAGCTAAACAGCCACAAGCGTTGGTGCCTAAACTTTTTCAGGGCCTGTCTGTGCTCCACAGGAAATCAGAGGGCACCCCTACAGGCTGCAGGAAATTAACGGGGGAGTCGGTTGTTAGGCTGCCAGTTGTCTTTCTCACCGTGGTGTAATTAAGTCTAATCCCGGGACCCTGTTGTTGTGTGGGTGTTGCAAATTGCTTTCTCTGCCAGCATTCAAAGCCACTTTTAGTCGCCTTGTTTCTTTTGCCACACGCTGAGCCTCTGTGCTTTTTTCGTCCGCCGTGATGCTCACCGTTTGTTTTCGGTGCCATTCTCACAGCGCTGCGGTCTCCAAAGCATATGGTGCATCGTCTCTCACCGTTCCTCTTGTCTCTGCAGAATAAAGTGGTGGATGTGGACAACCTGAAAGTCAAGCTCCAGGTGAGGACGCGCTCCTTTTTCACGCACCTAAATATTCACCTGCAATCATCCGGTCAATTATTTAGAACTTAAAATGATCTACAAAGATATTTACAAAATTGTTGGTACCAGTATGCTTAGTCAAATGCTGTTTTAAAATCCTGATGGTAGGATTTCAAATTGCCTCTGCTAGATGGTGTGCCAGCAGCATGCTGCTAATCTAAGTTACATTGCTGTCTATCATCATGACCTGTTCATTCAACACTGAGTAGGAGGTGACAAAATTAGACTCCCTTGGCAGCTTGAGTAAATCCTCAGCTCTTATTCTCTTGCACGAGCCTTAAGCTGAATGAAATTCTGTGATGAATACCACAATAGATTCTGCCATGATGATGAATCTGTCTCGTCCCTCAGGATTTCTGTCTGATGTGAGCACCCGAGGTTGGTTAAAGAAAAAAAAAAGTGCATGGGGAACTTCTCATTGACCTTATTATACAAGCTTATGTTAAAGATATTAGAAATTACAAGTATATGTCACCAAGAAGCATTCCTGGCCACATCCATTGTTTTGTGAATTTATTATGTTCAAAATGTGCCAATCAGTTATTAGCTCTTTATACATGACAAGAGTAAAATGATCAATTTAAAAAGGGACAAAACGTAGTTTTAATATTGGAGTTTGATCTTTATTTTTTCTTTGGGAAATAATGGAATTGAGCTTGTGTAGACCTTTATGACTCTGAGCTGCTCCGCCATCCGCTGTCTCTTTTGGGTTTGCACCAGGATGTTTTACCATGTTGGCTTCTGTGTGATTGTGTGCGTTGTTGTCAGATCTGGGATACAGCCGGCCAAGAGAGATTCCGCAGCGTAACGCACGCCTACTACAGAGATGCTCAGGGTGATCTTTGCTTTATGTATTTTTCTTCCTTGTTTCTTTTTCATATCTTGAGCGAGTGTGTGTATATAAGTGTGGGGGGAAGACCAGTGAAGGCAAATGCAGGAACCTAATTAAAACGCCCTTTTCTGTGCATAGCAAGCTTCTCTTTTTGTATATGGAGACACAAAAACAAAGGTTCAATCAAGCTCTTTTTATTTTTGTTTTGCTCTCACAGCGTTACTCCTGCTTTATGATATCACCAGCAAGCCATCCTTTGACAATATCAGGGTAAGATTGTTTTAAAAGACTTTTCCTCCCACATTCAATATCTGCCGTTCTGCTCTCAGTTCACTTTCTCTCCCTGCTCCTAAATCCCCACAAGCTGAATGCTTCTCCGTCTCTTTACATGCAAAGCACTGCGGGGCCTTCAGACATTTCTCTTTAGACCTCTTAACGACATGATGCTATCATTTGTATGGCTACGCAGTCCCCAATTTCAGTAATGAAAAGCCGCACGAGCGTTTAAGGATAAGAGTAATTCAATGTCACCATGAGTGATCGGAGGATGGTTCAAAAGCAGAGAATCCTGAGTGATGATATTTGTTTAGCTCACAGACCAGACTCTTCTCTTTCTCTCTATCTTCTCTACTTTTGAAGGCCTGGCTGACTGAAATACACGACTATGCCCAGAAGGATGTGGTCATCATGTTGCTCGGCAACAAGGTGAGCATGGCTTCCTTTTAGTGTTGCGTAAAGAGATTGGGAGGATAACTGTTTCTTCCTCACAATTTTAACACGCTCTTATCGCACTCCGACGGACGTGAATAGTGAGAAAGCCTTCAAACGCTCTCAGTGACACAGAGATGCAAGAAGCCAAACTCTGGCTCTCTTCAAAGTGAAATGCTCCCTGAATTGCGTTTGCGTGTTCTCGCTGATTTATCTTTTATTATTTCCTGTCCACCGCACAATGTTATCCCCTTCTTTCTGACCGATGCCTATTGGTTTTTGCTTCAAACCTCTGATGCACAGGCCAATTTATGTACAGGGCTGCTGGTGATGAAAAGAAATAATCCTATGTCTTCCCACCGCCAGCAGCCACTGTTAATACGGCTGAAGGCTCCCTCTGGTGGCTCAGGCAGGACTCACTTATCTGGAGGGTCGGGCATGTCACACAGCAGCAGCTTAGATCGTTTGTTCAGAAAGCTGGCCTCCTCTGCTGGGGGTGGGGTTTTCGTGACGTCTCATGGGTCCGGGGGAGCTCTGTCTCCGCCGCTAGCAGCCCGTCGCTGATGGTGGGGGGGGATTTGTGACCTTTCACTGGTCTGACTTGTTTTCCTTTCCCACTTCTGTCTCGCAGTCAGACATGACTGCGGAGAGGGTCGTGAAGAGGGAAGAAGGGGAGAGGCTGGCAAAGGTAATGCGCGGCGTCCTTAAGTGGTCCAGCTCTCACTACACCTGACCTATCAGGCCCCTCTAATGTTTTTCCATCTTAGGAGTACGGAGTTCCATTTATGGAGACCAGCGCAAAGACGGGAGTCAACGTGGAGCTGGCTTTCCTCGCCATAGCAAAGTAAGTTCAGAAGCTACAGCAATCAATATTTCCATCCTCGTTTACTCATTTTATCTTCCCGCTTAACCCATTCAGGGTCAAGGGAGAAGCATAGGAACAATCAAGATAAACACTCAGTCCTAGAAACTGTTCAGGGACACAAATCACCCTTACATCCTTACATGCATGTTTTTGGATGGTGGAAGGAAGCAACCAAGAGGGAACTCAGATAGAAGAACCCCAGATAAAAACTTCTAGTTAAACTGGGTCTATGACCAGGAACCTGACAGTTAATGGTGTTAACTGGTCATATGTCTGCATTCTACCCAGTCAACATCTGGAAACTGAGGAGAGCAGCTGCTGGTCCTTTGCCAAGGGATGCTGTTCCATCATTTTGTGAGAAAGGAACCCAGCTGCTCAACAGTCCTCATTTTAGTTTTTTTTTTATGGGTGAAAAGTCCCCAAAGCCATACTCTTGTTTTAGATAGCTAACTTTACGAAACATAGAAACACCTGGCCAGATAAAGACGTTACCCTTGCATTGATGGCACAACCAAACTGGTAGTTTCATACACATCAGTGCACCCCCATGGGGCGCTGGTGGAGTGGATTCAGATTCCATGGTTTCTATCAGGAATTTCAGATTCTGATTTGTGTCTTTTATTTAGGACCATTGTATCTAATAACATACACACCATCAGAGGGCTCCATCTACCATCATCACACACCGTCTGTGTGATGGTAGTGGGCTTCTATCTATGATAGTTTGAAATGATTTATTTAAATATGTCTTATCTGGTGGAGTGTCTTTGATGTACCACAAAGCAGCTGAATTCAATTGGATTTTCTTGTACAGCAAATTGAGCATGAAATATGACAATTCGTACTTTTGTTCTTTTTATGAGCAGGACAGGTAATACATTTTATCTGTCGAGACATTAGTTAGATACCATACATATGTTTATTGATGGACACTCGGCTATATCTTATAAGAATCTTTCCTTATATTTTATAATGGATGAACTGAATTCTTTCTTACAGAAAGAGTCATCTCGGAGATGAAGTAAATTTACCTGCAAATTGCAATTGTGTTTTCATCATCCTTGAAAATAAAATCGATCCAGAGTCATTTTAATGCGTTCATGCTTCTGGATAAATGAAGTCTATGGCTAAATATTAGGGCATTGCAGTGCACCTCATCTGAGGTAAATGATGTTTTCCTCTGGGCTGTGTGTTGTTACATTTGGTGCACTGACCCTATTAAGCCTCAGTCTGACTCCTGCATCTAATAGTTTTCAGGTAATTTGGTATCTGCCCCTGTTGTCTCCTTATAATGGGATTGCGTGTGTTTCCCCCTGTGGATGTCAGTCACTTACTGTCTAATTTCAGCTTGTAATGGTTTTCATGCGTGCATGTCTTAAATGCTGAATAGCAGGAAAGAACATCAGATGTAGGTTTATTTGTTGTTCTTTTTCAGCCTGCCCCCAGAGATGCAGGCAAACAGACTATCCAGTTCAGCATGAACCCATTCATGTTCATGTTTATTTTTCATTAATTTGGAAGTTAACTTCTTTTCAACCAGCTGGAAATTACATTTAGATAACAAAAGACATGAAACAGTATTTTAGACATCCTCCATATTTTTGTTCTTTTTTTCCCATTCCATTATTATATGGCCAAAATGATTAAGTCCTCTTGTGCTTCTTTGTAGATTTGAGGAAGAGTTTCTATTTTTTTCAAATAGCTCTAGATAATGTAGTTCTTTTTTTTAACTCTCACAAAAACCAAGAGTTAAGGGAGAACGGGTCTTTTCAAATTGTTGCAAGACAGAGAAAAGCGATGTCGAAACCCATTATAGGATTTTCATGCTGCTTTTGTACAGAGCATAATTGAAACAATAGAGAAAAAGAAAAGAAATGTTGAAAGGGAAGGCAACAAGTAGCCCTTGCACTGGTAACTGTAGGACTGTGAAAACAAAGATTATTATTTTCTTCCCATATGCAGACTTTCAAAAACACTTTGCACAATCTTGGTCTCCAAACAATATTGAATTGCCAACCAATTTATCCTTATGATAGTCAGAAATGGCTAAAAAGCCACTTCACCTGTGATATTATGTCCTTTTTATCCAAATATCAGTGTTCCAGCACCTCTCTGAGATTGGCTCCAATCTTTGAAACCTGGACACACCTCTAGCTGCTGATTGGCTGATTGTAAAACGTGTTTTCAGTCTATCACTGGAGTGTTTGTATCTTCTTGTGAATAGGACACTAAGCCAATTTCAAGTGTTGCTTAATTCCCTGGTAGTTTGACTATCACAGCTTAAATGTTGTTTTTTCAGGAGAAAAGTCCAGTTTTTCTTTTTCTTTTTCTCATTTATTATTTATTTGATTTGAGTACCATCAAATCAAGGAAAAATGGAAAAAAGCTCCACCATTTGTGTGTTATATTTTTCTTTTTGCCCGCAACCCTGCCGACAATAGATCCATAAACTCCTCATAACATCTTGGCATTTTCTTTTATGCTGCCACCATCAATCCCAATCTGAGCTGAGCTGTAACACACATCCATTTCTCTGTGCACTGGAGGGATGAACGGGCCCATTTTCAGCCTCAAAGACATTCAGAAAGCATATTAGACTGCAGTGATACATCAGATAAAGGCTTTATTTCTGTCATCACCACAATAGAATATCTGATGGATAAGTACTGTACCTGGGCATAGGGACAGGTCCGCCTTTGCCTTTGGAGCACTGAGTGAAAACAGTCATTTAATTTTGAACATTAGGAAAACAGGAGGGATGACTACTGTACATTTCATGGACGACCTGGAAAAAGTAAAATAAAATAAAAAGAATTTCCATATACAGTATATATAGACTGGAACACCTTTGCTATCAATGCAAAGGTGCAGAAAAGAAAGTCATTTTTCCAGGAGTCTGTGTCAGAGGGTGCAGTCTGCCTCACAGCCATCTGGTGGTGTGGCCACGTCACCGTGAGTGACTCAAGCACGCTGGGCTGCTTCAGAGCCTGTGGAAATAATGCTGCAAGGGAGAGTCTCGCAGAATAACGGACAATATTCACAGCACTGTGGTGAAAGTACTCAGTTAGTTCAGTCAGAGGCTTCTTCAGCTCAGAACAGAGCAGGGAGCCATTTCTCTCCATAGCAACAGCCTTATAAAAAGACAGGAGGAAAAAAATGTACCAAATTATTGTAATTTCCCTGTCAGATTAAGTATTTTTATTCATTTCATTGTCTCCTTATGAACCAAAATCAGACGCAGATATGAAACATTGGGTGATTCATTATTTTTCCTTGTGATGGTAGTTTTAAGTGGAAGCAGAATAGAACAATATGACGCATGAGGAATTTTGATTAAATCTCAGCACACTGTACTCCCTCTCGTTTTCTCTCTCTATTTTTCTCATACTTCAGATTTGCTCTCCATCCCACACATCCACCCCCTCCACAAGTAACTTCCTGCGTCTCTCCTTTTTCTTTTTCTCCCGTTCTCTGTCAGGGAGCTGAAACACAGAGTGACACAGCAGCCTAACGACCCCAAGTTCAAGATTCACGACTACATCGAGTGCAAGAAGCACAAGTCCAGCTGCTGCGGCCTGGTGTAGCTGAAGCTGGACACCGGGCAGAGAAAGATACACACAGATTAAGGGAAGATGGAGGGGAGGAAGGGGAGGATGGAGGATGGGAAGGAGGTAAAAAAAGGTCAGCTCTGTCTTATAAAAGCCAATCCCAGCGCCAAAACCCCGAGAAGCAGATGTCCCCGATTTCTCCACGCAGCTTTTGGTGGAATAAGAGGGAATCGGGGTTGACCGCCACCCCTTATCTAAGAAATGTGAATTTAATTTGTTTGTGCCATGTGTAGAAATGTTTGTGATCTTTGTGGTGACAGTTGTATCTAAATACAAATCGAGAGTTACAATCTGAAATGCTATATCTACCTGAAGGGACAAAAAGAAAAAACGCATTTGTCATCCTACTCTGGGCAGGCTTAAATGAAGCCGATGTGGATATAGCATTTTGCCATGCAGCTTTGAGTTTGCTTCATCCCAGTTTACCCAGGCTGTGATCTGAACCCCTTTTGGCCTTATTGTCTTCATCTTTGATCTTCGAGAGTTTAGTGTTTTTTGAAAAGTGGACTTAATTCTCACAATCAGATTGTAGCTAAATGATCCCATCTTTTCACATCTGTACTGCTGTTAGATAGAATAAAGCCAACGTTTTAAGGGCACTCCCCCACCGTGTGTCTGTCTGTACATTCAATTCAGGGCCCATCAACGGTCATCCTAAGTCAAAACTAACGCCGTGTTTCTAGATGCACACAGCACAGCAGTCCCAGGCACTGCTGTGTTTCTTATACTGATGGATGTTGTTGCTGAGACGGTGCCGAAGCTATATTTGTTCCTACACCACATCGTGTAACTTGTTCCTTTGTACACTGATCATTCTGAATGTTTACCTGTCCAACTTGGTCCCTCTTCTGTATCCCCGGTGATCACAAAGTGCCATTAAAGTGCTTTGTTATCATACTATATATAAAGGGTATATTTTGTAATGTATGTGGTGTTGTTTTATTGAAGTCTGTCTCGTTTGTGTTGCTTTGTGTGTGTGTATATGTGTGTGTGTGTGCTGAGGATGAGGACCGAGTCTTCCTCTTGAGTGACAGGGTGTGCTGAAGTTCCCGGGCCACCGTGTGGCAGCAGCTTCCCTGTTTATTCCCCTCCGTGCACGACCACAAAAAGCAGAGCTTCATTTCCATCGGACAGGTAGCATTAGAAAAGGTCAAAGCCACTTTATGCAGGCAGCCTGCTTGGTGTTTTTATCGTTATACTTTTGTGGGTGCTGTTGCAAGTGTGTTGTGTGAGGTTACACGGTACGCAATCATGATTCACCGTACGGGGCGGTACACCTGTATCAGCTCGCCTACCCTCACGCTCACATGCAGCATGAATCACACTGCACACAGAACTAGGAATATGTGTGTGTGTGTGTGTTCTGTCGTTGGGAACATTTCCATGACAGTTACAGTTGGAACCCCCCTCCCCTGCCTGCAGTTTTAGTTCGGCATCCTCTCACAACCGTTTCACCGAAGTGCTGCCGGGTCTCTGGAGATTTAAACTAATCCTGACTAAAATAACTGTCAGGCAGAAAAAGCAGCAGCGAGGTTCCAGCTGAGGGCTGGATGCAGCAGAACAGAACAGATTCTGGCAGCAGGCACTCAAGCTTCTCTCCTGTAGGCAAATCGCTTTGGTCTCATGATGGCCTGAAAGCCATTAGCCCATGAAAGATAACTCAAACAACTGTCTCTGAAACAGGGTTTTCTGTCCTATATGCCTGCAAGTTACACGCTGATGTCCATAAATTCATCTTAGACTGGATCACTATTTCAACAAAAATTTAAAACAAATTTTTGCAACCCTAACTGGAGAAAAGCTGGCGAAGCAATAGGGAACTGTCACAATACAGCCACTTTGTCCAGATGAAATCCCCCTGATTCACCTGGGTACCTTTATATAATACCATCCCTTCAGCCCACTCTGTTTAATTTTTAATCCCCAGCCCCTGGACCATCCCCCCTTTTTCAGGGACAAAGCCCCCTTTTCTTTTTGTGATCAATGAGGTTCATCCATCCCTTCAACCCTGTGAAGAGATAAAAAAATACAATTGGGTTTCTAAAAAATTGCATCTACAAGATTGTACACAAAACACGTGGATGACTTGGGACTGGGGCCATAATGCGCAGACACTTATTTCAATCCCTTTTGCAAACGTGAGCAAATGCTTTTCATAATATGATCCATTTGAGAAAAACCGTGAAAAAAAAAAGTAAAGACCCGTCCGGTGACTGGCCCCTCTCACCTGCGAGTTCCTGGACAGCTTCACTTTGGCCCCTGCTTTGCGTAAGGCGGCCGGCTGGGCTGGTCCGTGGACGCGCCTCCCTCTTCCTGAGAGTGCCTTTCGACTTTCGCAGCACCACTAAAAAAGCTGCGGCTGCTGCCTGAGTTGGACCAGCCTCAGTTCGCAGGAGCCAGCCGGGTGATCGGTTCGGGCGCGGGGTCAGAAACAAGGCGACTTGAGCGCGTGACGCGGAGCGGACAGCGAGTTTGTGCACCGGCGCCGTTGACCCCAACAGGACAGGCCAAGGTGGGGGGTCGGGTGCGTTGTTTGAGGGGACACCGCTCGTTCACACGCGTGCGCGCGCGCACACACACAGATCCATCCCTCCTCTCCAGCATCCCGACAGGGGCTTTGAGCAACAGGTTACGCAGCAGCGGCACCGCTTTGGCGACCGAAAGCGCAACAATGCCGAGCAAAAGCCAGTTCCTGCGCCCCCGGCTCTGCGCGCTGCAGAAGGGGGACAACGGCTACGGCTTCCACCTCCACGGGGAGAAGGGGAAGACGGGCCAGTTCATCCGGCTGGTGGAGCCCGACAGCCCGGCCGAGTCCTCGGGGCTGCGCTCCGGAGACCGCCTGGTGTTCGTCAACGGGGAGGACGTGGAGAGCGAGAGCCACCAGCAGGTCGTGTCCCGGATCAGGGCCACCGCGGGCCCGCTGGAACTCGTGGTGGTGGACCCGGAGACGGAGCAGCTGCTGAAGAAACACAACTTGAAATGCCTGAAGGAGTACGTCTCCGAAGGTCTGCCGTTGCCCTTTGACGACGAGGAGGAGGAGGAGGAGGAGGCAGGGGAAGTGGAGGAAGAGGCGGTGGTAGTGGTGGAGGAGGAGAGCCAGCAGGTGGACGAGATGGCTAACGGGGATGAGAAGCAGGAGGAGGTGGAGGATGCAGAAGAAGTGCAGGATGCAGAGGAGGAGGAAGAGGAGGAGAAGGAGAAGGTGGTGGTGGTGGAGCAGCAGCACCAAGAGATGCTCAGGGAGTCCACGCCGGTACCCGAGAGTAACGGAGAAATCCACAAGCATGTGGAGAAGAAGCTGAGCACCAGCTCAGAGAAGGTGAGTCCGCCTTTACAGCAGGTAGAAAGTTTGAGCGTCCAGACGAGGGCCGAAGCTGTCTGCTTTAAGAGAGGACGTGTTTCTCTGTTTTCTCACCAAAAGTGTTTAAGATTTCTGCCACTCAAACACACCTGGGTCCAATGAATGGATCATTTTCTGGCTTCATCAGAGGTTGATGAGGAAATGACAGGCGGGCCCATTCATTATGGATCAGGTGTCGGTGCAGGAAAACATATCTATAAAACATTGTGAACAAGCCCAGCGACTGAGGGCCTGTGCTCCAGAGAATAGGTGCTCTGTGTCTGTGACCGGCTCCACACCAGCAGCTGCCCCCGCCGGCCCCCAGCAGGGCTGCCAGGCCGTGGGCAGGGTCAGCTGGCTGGACATTTGCTGCGGGTGTGAGAGGACAAACCTTGGGATCCTAAAAACAGAGACCATTCTGTCAAAATGTGGCTCAACTTTCCCCTTCTAAAAAACAGGGCTTCTCATGCCTTGTCTCAAAGAAAAAAATCACTGAAGAACACCAGGCCGGTCTGGCTTCTTAGGCAGTTTGAGGCAACAGGCCAAAGCTTAAGCCTCCATGTTGTAGAAAAACAACTTCAATAAACCGCTGGCATTGCTAAACTCCCCCCACAACAAACAACAGGAAATACTTTGTTTTCTTTCTTTTTTTAAAAATCTCCACAAAATACATTCTACCAAGTTTCTTTTTTTTTTACCCTGTCAACTTTGTCTGTCTAAGCATCGTGGTCTTCCTCTAATTCTACATCATCCTCTTTTTGCTGTGTGCTCTGTTGATCTGTGGGTTTTGTAAGTGGCTGTGAAGCCACTCGGAGCACGAGAGGAGGAGAGGAGGAGAGGAGGAGAGGAGGAGAGGAGGAGAGGTTCCTCCTGTCTGGAACGTCTGTCCCTCTCGCTGCGACGTGTTTACCCCCGAGGCCGTGTCTGTCTGCGTCCGGCCCTCATCCTCAGCTCGTGCTGCGTGCAGCTCTCATAAAAATGCAGTGGATCTCAAAACAGGTTTAGCTCTGTGAGACGGTTTCCCGAGGCTGAGAAGAGACCCGCAGGCTCAGAGTGGTTTTGATAGGTGACGATGCCACGAGCGATATGGAAACCTGAATGACACTGATGTTTGACATGAATTGCTCTCAGAATCCAACACGTTAAAAACTCATAGAGATTCACAGTAAGATCCAGGGGGCCCCCGGATTAGAGGGTTTTAAACTGCCGTTCGTCTTGATCAAACGGCTCTAAAAGCCGAGGCCTCAGCGCTTCCTCACATCCATCTTTCTCAGCACCTCGGTGTAATGAAAGCTGTGGCATTTAAAATGCAGGCGAGTCCATTTCGAATCATGTTCCTGCTATTTTAGGGATTTTTTTTTTCTCTCTTCTCACAGCTATTATGAAAATAGCAGCAGCCCACGCTTGCTTGTGCACAGCTCTCAAGCAACGCTGGGTTATGTTGTTTGTCCTAGGAATATACAGCTATTGTTCCCGTGTTTGCTCACCGTACTCTCAACAGATGGCCTAATGGAGCTGTCCGGTTCACGAAGGGAGTGGAGTGAACTGGAAACGCTCGATGCCACTAACACAAGAAGCGTTCAAAGCTTTAATTGATTTAGCTATTTCTACTAGTCTAACAAGAAAATACAATATCCAGTTCAAGTCATCCTGTGTGATCCCACTTGGGATTTTTTCCCCCTCTTATATGAAGGTACAAAGCAACAGTTCCCAAGATGAGGTGGTAACCTAAATACAGAAGACACAGTAGAGCATTCAGCAGTGGGTGTAAATTGGACTCTAGGGACGGTTTTAATTGTGTTTTTGAGCTGTCGTCAGAAAAACCTCAGGTTGTTTTGTTTTTTCGGTTTTGTTTTTCATTAGCTCAACTGTTTCTGGAATTTTCTTCCTACATCCTGTCCGGCATTCCAGTGCCCGGGCCCTGTCGCCTAGCCAGTGACACACACACACACAAGCACACACACACACAAACCTCTCACACAACCCAAACTTCCTCACGGACAGCACACAGATTTGGTTCAGCCGTCACTCTTACGCCCACTCTCTGCGTCTAAATCTTTACCTTTAAAAAGACACAAAAGAGGGTACGAACGGTCCCGCCCTCTCCGGAAGCTGAGGAGCCCTGCACACGGTTTCCATGGTTTCGCTCATGGCATGCGTGTGTGTGCATGTGTGAGTCTTTGCCGTCCATGTGGAGTGTGTATATGTGTGAGGATGAAGGTAGGCGGCGGAGGTGAGAACGCGCAAGGGAGGTGCGAAAAATGGATGAGCAGTGATTAAGGTCAAAAACACTCACAGCTTCCCAGGAGACGAATAAAAAAAAACCACAATGTCGTCACCGTGAGGCAAAACACACGCAGGCCCCGAAAACACATCATCCGTTCCAAAGGTCGTCGTTTTGTTTACCAGGCAGTAAAGTTTTTTACCTTGGGCACTCAAGTGTGCCAAGGATGCTCGTTCTCCCTGAGAGCCATTACCCGGAGGGTTCCGGTGACGTGCTCAGTGGAAATGAAGACTGTGTGAAGGGGATGTCTGCTATCGGGGCGTGGCAGTGACCACGCCACACAGGTAACTGCCCCCATGGAGGTCAGATTTAGCCGTTTTCACACTGTGATGTCCAAACGTTTTCGGACAGACGGTTGAACGACGACCGTTTGTGCTGATGCACGTTTTTTTTATTGTATATTATGGTAATAATGAAACGGGGCCTAAAACAAGAATCCAGAACTCCCTCAAAAAAAACAAGCAAGCCAGCTATGTTAAACAGTATTTTTTATGTATTTTAAGAGCTGTTTGTGAACTAGAATCCTCTTTAGATGTATTTACAGCCTGCATTTCAGAATGCAGAAAGAGAGTGTGAGGTGGTTTTGGGAATCTTCCTTTTTTCCTCGAGCCTGCCTTTAAACACTAATTACCGGTTGGGAGGAGAGCACGTGTCAAATATAATTAGGTGTGTCCTGATGAGTAGAAACTCACAGTCAGTGTGTGCTGTGCCCTCCAACCATGAATGACCCTTCAGTAGATAGATAGAAACCACACACATAGCGGAAGGCTAAAGTGAACCATGATGCAGGCTTTGAGTCCAAGTACCCGGTGTTTGTCGCCTCTCTCCTGTAATCTGCGTCTATAAAAGATGCTCATTAAAGAGCTCAAACCTTCTTCTGGATCCCCACACATCATTCATTAAAAAGAAAAAAAAATCAAATAAAAAAACCTAAAAAAACTCACTTTACATAGAAAGCTTGATAGAACGGCGTGCTTTAAATAAACAAATGTCCCTAAAGCTGTTGCGTGGGAGGAATCGACCTTTAATTTTAGACGCACCGCTGCATGGCTGAGTGCTTTTTGTTTTTTGTTGCATGCATGCATGAAAGAGGCCAATAAACTTAAGCATGGCTTTTATCACACGAAGATATCAAAGACTTGCCGTCCCATTTTCGAAGTTTGACGCTCAGCATAATATCTCCCTCCGAATGGTGTTTCATAAATTGCCACATCTGACGCGATGTGAAGAAAGTGAGTTTGGTCCGGTAATAGAGCAGACGTGTGTTTGCAGTGATTATTTGCGGTATAGGGCAGAAATGGCCACACCTAGAGTAGCTATTCAAGCCAGGATGGTCGGTCAGAAGAGGCCCGGCCTGTGTGCTCAGAACTCAGGACGTTTGTGCTGGTTTCCTGTCATTGTTGAAGGCAGAGGATTCTCCCACCTCCTTTGTCTCGATCAATCTCTAACCCACCTTCCAAGGACGGACCCAGCAGGTCGCAGCAGGACGACAATCTAAGATCTCTCTGATGTGGAATCAGTTTGAATGTGTATCTATTTAGTCATTTTATGCTTGTTGTCCAATGAAATCAGCTTCTATAGCAACACAAGCTTGACTGGGCACTCGGTGAATAAATGTTCCAGCAGTACATTTTCAGTTGTGGTTCAAAGTAAACAGTGTGTCCAGCTGATGGTTTGCTTTGTTTGTCTGCTATTTGGTGCGAGTCATTGTGTTCACCGTGCGGCATCAGATATGTTCTGTGTTCCATTCTGTGTGACGTCTCTTTCTTGACGCATATCAAACACTTGGACACTACTTGAAATGTATTTGTTTAGTCCGGGGTGTATTCACATAAATGCGTGTGCACATATTGGTGTGGCTTTACATGTGCGTGTGAGTAAGGCCGATACAGAAAATGTCAGTTACATTTAGAAGCTCAGTCTTGTGAAGTGGGTGGAATCTCATTTGACAAAGTCAGAAAAAGTACTATCTTTTTGTATGTATATATATATATACAGTATAGATAGAAGATTTCATTCTTGTCAAACAAATAAGTCCAGTTGCAGATCTGAAACCGTTCCAGTCATAGCGATAGTGTAGAGAGGCACATACAGGGGAACATGTGTTGATTTGGTTTGTTATTGAACTCCACCAGAACTGGCATCTGAAGCACACTTCCTCTGTTATAACAGCTGATGTGTGCCTTATGGGCGAGAATCAAAGAGAAACCCGAGGAATGATACTATCAAAAAAGATGACATCAGTCTCAGCAGTGTTTTGCAAGACAGTCACGCACAGCTCACGGGAATGTTTGCCAAATTAACAGTTGGGAGCAGAAAAACCCAGAGCCACGTTTTGAAAGATTAACCCTAAAAGCAGTGTGCATTCACATGTTTGAAGCAGCTGAGATTATTAGTCTTTTTTCATTTGGCAGTAAACATCAAAGCTTTGAGAGGAAATGAGAGGAGAAAGACACAAAGGGAGGGCACGCAATAAAGGTCGGAGGCTGGCCCTCAACAGGGGACGCGGTCCTGGTCAGTGTTTTTAACCCTTGGGCCATCAGTTTAGTTGCTTTGTATGAGTACATGCCCACGTGAACCCTTCGTTAAATGCCAAACGGTTGTAAACTGCGGGGATGCTCTCCTGTTGATTACTGTCTGGAATCAGTAACCCGTTATGTTTCTTCAGAGTGATTCTCAGCGCTCGCCCCCCAGG